GAACGCCCTGGCCACGGTCGCGAGGCACGCCGACGACGCACCGGACGGCCCTGCCGACGGCAGCGCGAACCGGGCCCTGGCCTGGAAGAACTTCAAGAAGACGCCGCTGCCGCCAGGGGCCCCGCAGGGCGGCGGGGATTGAGGGCTGCCCTGCCGAGGGTAGCCGCGACCAGGTGCAGGAAGTGCCCTCCTCCTATCTATTTATATGGACAGATACACCACCCTTGTAGATGGAGAAGGGTCCTCAGAAGCCGCCTGCTAGCGCTCCAGCATTAGGGTGTGGGTGGCGGGACGCGCCAAAGCTGAGGACTGTCGGGGGTCACGTCTGGGGAGTGCGGAGAGCCGCCGCGCAGCCAGTGATCTTCGCTGGAGACTGAGTCGGGGGCTGGAAGAGGGGTGGATACCTTTCTGGCCTTAGAGCTGCAGAAGGGTCTGGGCCAGGGTTGTGGCAGCCTCCCAGAGAGCCTCCGGGAGAGCCCAAGGGTCTTTCTCAGGGGAGGGTGTTACAGGTTTTTGTTTGTATTTGTTTTGTATTAAGGGTCTTGGGCTGGAGGCTGGGCCTCCAGACACTGATATAGTGTGTGACCCACACACTACTCAATAGATGTTAGGGACATGTGGGCTGCTGGAACATTGTTACCTGGACACAGACTCACCCAGGGCAATGCCGCCTGGATATACAACCGCAGTCTGCAGGGCATCAATTGGACCACAGCTAGTCCCTGGCCAGCTTCACTCTGCTGACAGACCCAAACTCTTACTGGACAACATTGCCTGGGCACAGTGGCATCTAGTCAATGTTCTTGGGACTCTTAGCTTCGTTATGGACAGTGACACCAAGGACACTTAACCTTTCACTTAGCCTCACCACAGGCAGACACCTGGACACCACTGTCTCTCCAGAAAGTGTCACCCTACACTCAGGTTCCATAGCCTAACTTCCCAGTGTCACCGGGGAGTGGTTTCACCTTGCACAGAGAGCCCTTCACTAGCTGTCCTTGTCACCAGGACCTACCCCACCTAGCACAGCCTGCAGCAGAGCCTGGAACCGGTAGCTTCTCACCTCCTGGCTTCGGAAACATCAGTTGAAGTCATCATTTAATAGCGCACAGTGTCCTGGGGTCAGCCAGCTTGTTTTTTTTTTGTTTTTGTTTTTGTTTTTGTTTTTTAAATAAAGTGTAGTATTAGACTTTAACAGGTGGCGTTTCCAAGACCTGCTAGTTTTTCTCCTTGGAAATGGGGGATCAGAGGGATCTGGGGAGGTGTGTGTGTTCTGGATACAGGTATGGGACCGGCTGTGATGGGCTGGGGGAGGGTCGCTCAGGGGTCCCCTGTTGTATGGCAGGCACACTGAGGTCTCAGTGGAATTCGGGCAGGAATCTCGCCTCCGTGGGAGAGGTAGTATATTCCCACCCCACCCCCGCAAAATATGTGAGGCCAAGGTCACTCTGTGTATCGTTTATTGCGGGAAGGGGTCGAATCTGGTTCCTAGGGGCTCTGCCAGAGCCACAGGCCCAGCAGAGCCGCGTGCACACGGGCTAGGGTTGGGGCGGGCACCGAGGCTGCTGCGCGGATGGAGGCACCTGGAGAGGCCGAGACCCTGCGACCCCCGAGAGGCTGCTGCGGGCGGAAGTTCTCGGTGAGCGGTGCAGGGTGAGAGCCGGGGAGCCCAGCCTGGAGCATGGTCTGGAACTGGGCCACCTGAGGGCTCGGAGCAGAGACAGGTTAAGACGTGGGCAGGGGCTGCGGGAGGGAGGGAAGAGGGCAGAGCTGCCCAGTGGAAAGGGTGGGGGCCCCACCTGTGAGCGCCCGATGGGTACCGCGTCCTCGAAGACAGTCCAGACAACCGCAGGCTGGCAGCCAGGCGTGGTCAGCGACCCCGAGTAGCGGTAGTAGCGCGAGAGGCCTGAGGCGCCCGGCAGCAGCGAGGCCAGCGGGAAGGTGGAGGCCAGATTCACAGAGACTCCTGGGCCGGGGAGGGGAGGTGGGATTGCAATCGGCCTCCTTGTGCCCAGCCGCCCCCCCCCCCCCCCGCCCCCCCCCCCCCCCCCGGCCCCCAGCTAACCCCGCGCCCCGGGTGCGATCCCGTGGCTCCTCACCGCGCTCAGACACGTTCTTCAGGCTGGATACCAGGACGGAGAAGTTGGCGTTGTCAGTGTCCTGCTCCTGGGGAGGGGGCTCCAAGTGAGAAGGGCTCTGAGTGGGTGGGTCTCCAAAGGGGAAATCTGAGGTGGGGAGAGGTCTAGAGGAGACTGTAAGTGGGATGGGGGTAGGCTCCCAGTGGGGGCAGCTTGGAGATCTGCTGGGGGAAGGGTCACCCTCCCTCCGCACTGACCCTGCAGACCCGGTACCTCTCCTTGGCCCCATCCTCCCACAGAACTCTTTAAATCCTATAAACCGTACAGACTCCCCCAACAGCCCCACCAAAACTCTACAGGCCCACTCTGCTCCCTTTGCAGACCCCCTTTCTGGGAAGCACAAGGAGTCACAGAACTCCTCTGTCCCTCCCTCACTGCCAGGAGTTGCACAACCTCTCCCTCACCACCAACAGCACCGCCAGCACAGCCAGCCCATCGGGGTGACCTCGAGCTTCCCCCATGCTCTGGTACCTCGTGTTCATGTGGACCACGTGCATCTGGAGAGGCACAGACCGTGAGAGGTACCAGCTGCTCCTTCCACAGGGCACACCTACCACCCTACCCCCTACCCAAGCCCACCTCCATGGGGCGGCGCTGCCCATCCAGGCTGTGCTCTGAACCTGCTTGACCAGGGCCCCCCCAGTGGAAGTGCAGCTGCAGTGCGCGGTAGGCAGGCAGTGGCAGCCCGGCGCCCCGAATCTCCAGGTGGCTCTGTGGGCCAGCGTCTATGTGGAGCAGCACTGGGGGTAAAGGAACACATGACACTCTTTCCCTCCACCCGCTTGCCCTTGTGCCCTTGTGCTGTTAGGGCACAGAGTGCCAGCACAGGGCCCCTTTGGGCTAGTCTGCTCCCTGGCCGGGCTTCCATGGAATAGATCCTCTGGTGGTCAGCAGATGGCAGTGGAAAAAACCTACCCTGCAATGAGGGGGAGAAGAGGGTGGCCCTCCTGTGGTGGGAGTTTTGACCCACCACAGCTGTGTGTGAGACTGGGGGGCTGTGATGACTTCCGAGGTGCTGTGAGGGGCTCTGACTTCTGGGAATGTCCCGACTTCTGGTCCTCAGGGGCAATGGCTGATTGCTATTGTTAGGGGGATCCTGACACCTGTATGTGGGGGTTCATGACCCCTGTTGGGGGTGTCTACCAGCGAGTATGGATGTTCCTGTGCTCTTTGTGGAGATTTTGATCCTTATGGGTGTGTTGGGGGGTAGTTCTCACTCCAAGGTGGGTTTCAGCTTGTGTCTGTGGGGATCCTGGCCGTAGGGTACTGACCTGTATGGCCATCATTCTCCAGGGTCCACGGGCCTGGAGGTGCTGTGTTGTAGCCCTGTAAGATGAAGGGTCCCAGGGTGGGGTCCCGCTGAACCAAGTGAAGGTCGATGTTGATGGGGGACTGGGCTGGGCCCCCACAGGCAGGGGCCATCTCCTTCCAGTGGGTGGGGCCTGAGGGAACAAGGTCAGGGATATGTGGGGGGGGGGGGGGCGGGGGGGACAACTTGGGGATACACAGAGGAAGGCAGTGCCTCTCTCCCTCCCTCCTGCACATACCTAGAGAATCGCCCAGCCTCAGGAAGCTCCTTCCTGCTCACCCACACACCTGGACAGGTCACAACTGCCACACGTACCCCGACCTAGCCTGGCCATAATGTTTGTAACACTCTCACGTAGGTAGGCACCACCTGGTCTGGGCCATACTCTGACACACAGTCACCTGCAGCTAGAGTGCCCCACAGGGAATGGGGATGGAAGGGTCTCCTGGCACGACAGTCACACACCCACACTGGGGACATGTATCACTTGCTCACACATGGGCTGACCATGCTGACAGCCTTACAGTCCCCACTTATATGAACAGCTTGGCACACATGCCAGGACTGGAGATCACACCAGCAACAAACACAGACACACAGGCATGGGTGGGGGGGGGGGGCGTCACACGCATGCTGCCTGGTACCCAGACAGCCACTGTGGCCCAGGACTCCAGACACAAACCTGCAGAAACCAGAGAAGCTTGGCATGCACACTGCTTTTGGTTCATGCTAGCATCAGACTGTCTAGTGGCCACAGGACAAAGACTGAAACCATATAGCCTCACATGACACTCTGTCCTCACCACACTTTGGGTCCTGGGAGTCGTAGCACCAGGTGCCTGCGGACAGTGGACAGGGAACTGAGATGAGGGACAGCAATCTGGGCTCTCTCTGAGCTCCATGCAAGAATGGGGCTCCTCCTCTCCTAAGACCCCAACATCTCCTCCCCCAAAGAAACCCCCCAGTGGCAGAGCTTTACAGGGAGAAGGGGGAGCTGCAAGGGAGGGTAGATTCGAGAAGGGTAGAATTCGAGACGGGCAGGGTCCAGGTGCTCACCCTCTGAGTCCCCGCGCACCACCAGTGGCACAGTGAGGAAGGCGAGTGCAAAGCCTGGAGACCGCATGGTGCAGCAGCCACTGTGACTCCAGAGGACTGGAAAGTGCCAGAGAACTGTGGGGCAGGCTAGGCAGCTGTTTATTAGTGGGGTGGGCTTAGGGGCGTGGCTAAGTCTTGTGGGCTCTCTGGCAGGCCACTGCAGAGAGGGTCAGAGGGGGCGGTGTCCAGGCAGGGCCACCAGCAGAGAAGACAGAGGTCTGAGATCACCAGGCACATGCTCTGATCCCAGGGCCGCGGCTGTGTTCCAGCAACAATCGCTGGCATTTACCGGAGCAAAACACTTTAAATAGACTCCCCCAATTGGGGGGAGGCGCTATTATGCCCACTTAAAGAGGAGGAAACAGAGGCTGGGGGCCAGGAGTGACATGCCAAGGTCACCAAGTAAGGATGGAAATGAAAGGGGAGGGCACTTTGAATCCCAGTGCCCTTGACTTTTGAGGCTGGGGTGAGGAGGGTGTATTTCCCTTCTGTTGTGGGCCTGGGACCTCCCAAAGACCATAGGCTCTCTTGTATAGGTGTCTCCCCCCCCCCCCCCCACGCCGCCCCGCACACCTGGGAAAAGGCCCTCCTTTGGGGGATTACTCCACCAACAGGTCTTTGGGAAGCCACAGCTCTCCCACTCTGCCCCGCACCAGCCTGGTGGGGACACTTCAGGCTTCCCCAGCAGCTCCTGAGGCTCTGACTCCAGGCTGTGGCCTGAGCCTCAGCCCCTCAATTCATTCTCCTGGCAAGTGGAGCTGATTTTGCTGCCTCTTGGTGTAGCTGGGAGAGAAAGCAACACTGGAAAGCTCTTTACCCAGCATGTGTGTGCCTGTGGATGTGAGCACAATTGGGCCAGTGATGTGAAGGGAGATGGGGTGGGCTGGGGGTGGGGGTGGGGTATCTTTCTCCAATCCCCAGAGGGTCAGGCTCTCCCCACTTTGGGGAAGGGGCGCTGTCAGCAGTGCTGACGGCACCCAGGACCCCCCCCCCCCACCACCACCCTAGCAGGTATGTTCAGAAATGAGGGATGCTGTCCTCGAAGCTCCTATCCACACCAAGGGACTCCCTGTTCCTTTTTTAACCCTGGCCCCTCGCCTGTCAGGCCCCCAGGATCCCCCTGCCCAGGATGGAGCTGACTGCCAGGACGCTGGGTTAGGAAGGTAAGCACAAGGACCCACCTGAGGTTGAGTCCCCTGGACACCCTTTTGTTCCTCCATCACAGACTGGGAAATTATTGAAAGGACCATGGTCAGTGGGGCATCTTGGAGCCCTGCACCCCAGCCTGGCTCACCTAGATGCCCCAACTCCTCCATCCACCCATCTCAGCCACCCTGGCTGGAGTCTCCCATCGCAACTTAGGTCACACCAAAGACTGACCACGCCTCTTCCAGAACACAAATTTATTTGGCATTTGGATGAAATGGTTCTCACAGCATCTTAAGAAAAGGATTAGTGCCAACCCAACCAAAAATAAACCCAAACTAAAACCCTTAGTGAAAGGAGAACATAAAAAACAGGCATCGAGACAATGTACAATATCGACTCCTTCCTCCACCAGGTAAGTCGGGTCCTGGGGGAAGAGGCCCCTCCCAAGAGCCTGGCCTGTACCTCTGGGAGCCCAGTCAATCACAGGAGCACAAGAGTCTCAGCTCGGGTTGGCTTTGGGATTCTTCATCAGACCCTGGAGCAGTTAGAACTTAACAAAGGGCGGCAATTGGACAGGAGGCCAAGGGCAGCCAGGCAGACCCTGGCTTCCCCACCTCGTTCCCCTCACAACCGCCCTCCAGCAGAGCTCACTCCTAGGCACCAGCTCCTGCACACACGGCATGCAGGCCTCTGTGCAGCCCAAGGACCCCAGCGGGCTGAGCACCCTGGTGCTGGGACAGAACCCTGGCCAGTCCAGAAGCGGGCTCACCATACTTCAGGCCACCTCCTCAATGCCTCCTGCATGCCTGATTGGCCCCAGCAGTCCTTCGGTCCCCAAAGGGAGCTCCCCAGTCCCAGACATCTTGTGCCAACTGCCCTGTCCTCAACACATGGTTCTGAGGTCTGGGCCAGAGACAGGGGAGCTGTGCAGGACTCTCGGCTGTTGAAGTCAGGCCGCTATGTGCTCCGCTGGGATAGTCACTCCAAAGCAGACACGCCCAGGACACTCACCTGGCACCAGTAAGACCTGTGGCTGCTGCTCTAGACCTCGGCTCCCCTGAGCCCAGCACGCTGGAGGCACAACACACTTCCTGCTTTGTCTTCAGCAGCCAACGTGGGGCACACGTGCCCAGGGTGTATTCTTGAAGGATCAGCCCTATGGCAAGGGGAGCTCAGGCCTGTCTGGCATGCAGCCCGAGTCCTGCCTCCAGCACGCTGGATCCTGCGAGCCCAGACAGGCAGTACAAAATTCACACCTCTGGCCGGCTCAAGGGATGACAGTTCTGTGGGGAAACTCAAAAATCTCATTCCATACTGGAAGAACACAATGGGTTTCCAATGGGAGAGTGTGAGAACATGCCTAGGACTGGACTGTGCCACCGAGGTCTGTCACCACAAAGCACCACAGAAACACCCACTTCTAGTCAACCCTCCTGTCACTGCATGCTGGTCTGGAAGAGCTACAAGGGGGACCAGGAGCAGGGCTCCATGCTGTCAGCCAAGGGGCAGAGGTGCAGACCTGGCCACACCTCAGTGCCGCCGAAGATGCCATGGCTGGCCTGGGAAACTGGGGCCCCAAGGCCGAATTCTGGCATACCGCCACCACCTGCAAAACTTGGACACAGATGTACACACACACACAGACACACGCGTACACACAGAAAGAAAAGATCCAGACATTCAACGTAGAAAAGATATGGATGTGCTAAAAATCGCACAGAACCCGCTTAATCTCCAAACCTCAGAAATGCTAAAAGCCCCGTGTCAGGAGACAAGACCACTGCCCAGGAGCAGGCAACAGGGTCCCTTGGTCAAAAGGCCCCTGGGCAGGGAACCCAGCACCCCGAGCTGCTGAGGATGGGAAGGTGGCATGCGGCCACTGGGCACTCGGCTCAGTGGTGGTGGTGTGCAAGTGGACTTTCAGGAGATGGACACAGCCCAGGGCATTAGTTTCAGCCACCCCTCCCCCCAAAGAAACAACCCTTTATGGCACAAACAAGATAGGGTGGGGGGGCAGACCAGACCCACGAGCAAATTCAATAGGAGTGGGGGGCTCCAGAGGGTAGCGGACTGGCTGGCTTAGCCCCCAACCCCCAAAGGAGGATCCAGGGCCAGGACACTCATGCGTGGCTAGGGGCCTTGGCCCAGCTCCAGGGTTGCCTCTTGAGGGAGCCATGCACAGCAATGCTGGGGAGAAAAATGACAGGGTCATTTTCAGGGCCCCCTGGCACAGAACTGGGCTTCACAGAGACCCAGCTTGAAAGACAGAGTGGAGAGTTCAACTTCCTTCCAAGACCCCCTCTGAGGGTCTTGGGCACCAGAGGCCCAGGCCAGCCCCCAACCCAGGGTAGGGTCACCCTTGATGTTCATGGCTGGGCTGGGGGGTATCCTCAGAGCGGCCACTATAGTAACCTCCAAGAGCATCTACCCTGAGGCAGACCAACCACCCAGACTATACTGACAGTCCACACACACAGTGGTGCCTGGAAGTGCTCCTCCTGAACAGTGGCTAGCGAGGTACACATGGCAGCCCCAGGGCTCAGTGGCTGGCTGGCAGGCTCCTCTGGACGGCATACTGCAGCGAGCAGGCCCACCAAAGCCAGGTGTGGTCTGACTCCCACCCGTGCCCACAGTGTCTTCTTTGTTCCCTACTTCTGAAACGTGTGGTCTGAACAAACTTCGTCATTCTTCTGCCATTTGGAAAGAAAAAGACAGGGACCCAAAGCTAAGCATGTTTTTGGAGCCCTCAAGGAGACTCGGTGCAGGTGTTTGCTCCCTCGGGAGGTCGGTGTGGTCTCTACTCGTACATGCACGCCGTCAGCGGGTGTGCGGCAGTGCAGCTGGGTCCAGACTCACTTGGGGGCCCCTCAAATCTCCCACAGGGATCAGTGTTTTCTTGTCAGCAAAAAGGTGCTCTCTGCCCATTGGGGCCGTGGGCTGGGCCATCCTCTACACCACGGTATTGAGGGAACTGCGGCTGTGGCGGCCGCCCCCTGGCAGCGCCTCTGTCGCTGGGGTGCTCCCACTCTGGGTAGGGTCAGGGGGCACAAGCAGGGCACTGCTGCTGTCGGCTGAGTCTTCCAGGTCTGCCAGAGAGGCCCCTGTGGCAGGCACAGGGTGCTCCAGGCCCCGGGGTGATGCACCTTCACCGCCACCATCTCCTGGGGTTGGTGGCCTGGCCTCTGCTGGCTCAAAGGCATCGTCGTCTGCAGGGAGACAAAAGGGAGTCAGCAGGATGGCAGGCCTGGCATGGGGGAAGATGGTGGGCTGCACAGAACCAGGGGCTACTTCTCCTGCCTGAATGCTCCCGTGGTGGCGGGAGGAGGGGGAAGCTGTGCTCACCCCCCACTTTTGCCACGTGGCCCGGTGCAAGGCGCAGGGGTAGTCGTGAGCAAGCCATGGCAATGTGATACAGAGGGACAGGCTTTGACAGAGTCCGCAGAACAAAGTTGGGGGAGAGGGAAAGTCCTCTCAGACTTGTTGGAGGTTGAAGCAGGGCTCACGTGACACAAGGGAGTTACTGGGCCGGATGTGAGCAGGCGGAACAGGGGACACAGCCCCCAGAAAAGGTGCTGTGGCTGGAATATGGGGATGAGAATGTAGAAGACAGGACCAGAGCAGACAGCTCCACAAACCTTACCGGGGTCTGTAGAAATCTCTGGTTTGAGGGAGGCTCTGTGGCAGCCCATTCCTTTCAGCGTGCCTGCTCCTTATTCCGGCTTTCTCCAAAACCTCAAGGCATGGGGGCCCCTGTTTCCTGGCTGGCTGGGGGGGGGCCCCCCCCCCCCGCCCGCCCGGGGGGGGGGGCCCGGGGGCGGGGGGGGGGCCCCCCCCCCCCCCCCCCCGCCTCAGCAGTCCTGTTACCTGCCCCAGAGAGCAATGGCTCCCTCACAGCCTGCTCCATGCAGCCATCTGGGACCCGCTGCCCTCCAGCAGCATCCCTGGCAGGAGCCTGTTCTACCCCGACCCCCTGGACGGCAGACTGAGACAAACTGTGTGTGCAGGGGTCAAATCCAGGTCTTGCCTGCACATCACAGAGAAGCAGTACTAGCAAACAGGCCCAAAAACACAGCGGCGCTGGCCCCATGACACACATTCTGCTGTGCTGTGTGGGTGTGCAAGGAGCCAGGCAAGGAGTGCAAGGAGTGGGGCACTGCCTGCTGTCATACTGCAGGGGGTTGTGTGCATGTTAGAGGGTATTAACATGTAGGCAAACGGGATGGGACACCTGAGCTGCACATCAGGGACAGGAATAAGCTGGGCAATGGTGAGGAAACTGGCATTCCCTCTGTGCTACACAGACCTATGAGGAATGATCTTCCACAGGAGCAGATGGACAAACGACTTAAGCAGTAAGGCCAACATCACAGAACCAGTGGCTTTC